GAACAAATCGCATGTCCACAACGATCATAATTTATCAGCTTTGCTGCCAACTGGGTATATAATGCAGACTGATCCTTTGTAATGGCAGATATCTAGCACTGTAGACCAGTTTCGTATTGGTTGGGGCTCATCGGCAAGCACTGTGCCTTTATCTGATGCTTGAACTACACGACGAACGTGAACAACACCTTGAGCGAATGGAATAATCAATTTGAATGAACTCGTTCGATTGTTTCAGACACCCCAGGCATTGCATTCCATCGCTCATATAAAAATCCATTTCGCATGCGAAGAGTGAATGCGTTTGCAATGAGAGAAAAGGCAGAACATCAGAATCGAAGGGACTCGTTCAAATTGTGCCTGATGCTTAACAATGGGTTCGTGATAATTGGATAGTCATAGTGGCAATGGTACTGTTCAGCAGTTCACATCCATCGACTTCGTCTGATCGATTGCGAAGATGGACAAAAGGAGGTCGTGCGCAGAGAGATACAGTCAAGCTGCAGCAATTTAGAGGGCACTGAGGTCGTTCTCTCACACACAGACAAGCTATATGCATCGCACAATGCATACAAAGCGAGACGAGAGAGAGAAAACTATTGGTTCAGTAATATTTTTGCTTGGCCTGAATCAAACCAAGTAACTAAGGTCATGCTGCTGCTGTTGAACTAGTTCATTCAAGTGCTGCAGGAATCACAAAACAGCATTTCAGATGGATGAAGATGTAACTGTTGTGCAAGCCAGAGTCGGTTAGAATACCAATCTAAAGCGAACTGTTAAGAACAGAAGATCGATTGGACGATAATTTGTATCGTATGATCGTACAATTGTAATGGACAATTCAAATGTCTGTTTATTGTCCAGTAAACAAGTGTACAGTGTAGCCATTTGTGACGAAAAACAGAATGGATCATTGCTTCGCAAGCACTAGGCGGACGAAAGCCGTGTGCACGTGCGTGCATCACAATCAGGTTCAACTGATCCCATAATCCGCATTCCTTATCTCCGATTCTCGACTACCGATGGTTATGTCAGTTGTCAAACAGCAATCGGGGAGGTGTACAAACCACACCCACACCTTTCCGGTTGTGGCAATGGTCACGAGCTTGATTGGGCATTGAGGTGTAATGGGCACTTTGAACATTCGATCCCGTCCAAAAGTTGTATGATCCGATGTACTGGACACCGGCTCCCAATGGATTGCGGTTTTCGCACACCACCCCGTGCCTTGTGGGTCAGCCTTTGGCTAGCCAAAGGCTCCAGTTGTGGATTCCCCAAGAAAATTTACCTGCCTTGCCCTGGGCAACCTGATAGCATTCGGCCCACTCTCGTGGAGCGTTTTTCTTTTTCATAAAGATTATTGTACCACAATTTGTTTGGCACATAGCCGGACATCAAACGTGTGTGAAATAAATATACATAATGTAAAAACAGCACTTGAATCTATGACTAAACTGTACAGTTAGGGTTTAGAAGGGACTGTGATCATTCAACGAAATCAAACAAAAGGAGGGGAACAATTAGAGAGATTCGGTGCTGATGGTAGAATTCGAACCCATAAGTTCCAAGCTGGTGAGTTACATCAGGTTCGTTATCAGGCAGGATCGAAACTCTAACTCAATCCGATTTAGGTCTACGATGAACCAACCAACACACCTTATAGGCGTTTGGTATACAAGCTATACATTTTTCTTTCTCCTCCTTTACACAGAACTCGCTTTCAACAAATCATTCTTCATTATCATCGTCCTCGTCGTGCTGCATAATACAGTGAAGCGAACCCTACGGATTGCTTCCAAACTCATAATGCATACAAGGTCATATAGAGTGTGGGGAGTAAACGGATTGGGTCTGTTTTCAGGGAAGGGAAAATAAAGCGAACCTCTACGGTCAACACATAGACTACACAGCCCAACTGTGCATACATACTAGTTCAAGCATTCTAGACTGATAAGAAGTGACAGCATGATGGCCATTGCTGTCGGTTCGCAGCCATGACCTTCAGTATACCCAGCAATCCGCTTACGATGTCTTTTGGACCTTAACCCGATACACGAGAGATAAGAAATATAAGAACAAATATAGTGGGCAACGCTTAAGCACACGTGTTTCACTAGTCGTGTCATGGACAAAAATGATTAGTTTCCCTGAACAGTTCCAAAATATTGATTTTGATCTCATCATGCATATCAAAGACCAAAGATCATTTTAATCTTAGACATCCGCTCGGCCTTCGACTCTGTCGATAGGGCCGAACTATGGAACTGTTTGTTGAGGAATGGAGTACCAGTGAAGTACGTGTCGATCCTCAAAGAGTTGTATCGTCATACCTCGGGTCGGAGTAGGGCCTATGACCAACTTTCGACACCCTTCGTCGTCTCCAGTGGAGTTCGGCAAGGCTTCCTATATCCCCATTCCTTTTCAACTTTGTCATAGAGGATAATTAACAGAATGCTCTGTCCGGTCTGGCAAACGGTGGAGTCCAACTCCTCCCAGGGAACAGGGTCCGTGACTTATAAGATGCCGATAACATCGCCTTCTTTGATGACAATACACAGGCAGACCAGAACGCTGTGAACCGCCTGGCGATAGAGGTATCCAGGTATGGTATGTGCTTTGTACCCTCTAAGTGCAAAGTGCTTGTTCAAGACTGACAGGAGCCTGTGCCTGCACTCACCCTGTGGTGATTAGCTGGAAGTAGTTGAGAGCTTTAAGTACCTCGGGAGCTTGATCGCAGCTGATGGAGGTGTTAGGAAGATCAAATCACGAAGAGTGAAAGCTAGAGCAACTTTCGCCAACCTGCAACATCTGTGGCGGGGCCATGAAATCGGACTGTACATTAAGGGTTCCTAGCGTTCTCCTTTACGGTTACGAGACCTGGCCCCTCCTAGCGGAGGATGCAAATCGACCTCCTGCATTCGACCACCGATGTCTCCGAAGCATTGCTCCTGTCTGGTGGGATCACCGGGTGTGCAACGATGAGGTTTATCATCGTGTGCTGGGTGTGGACAGTCGTTCTCTAACAGAAGTAATCGCTCTACACCGCCTTGGATGGCTTGGTCACGTATTGCGTATGCATGCCCACCGACTACCTTTCCGTGCTCTGTTTGCATGTGCCGGGCAAGGCTGGAAGAACCGCCGCGGTGGTCAGACCACGAAATGGCGTGGAGGTATGAAGAAGCTGGCTTCCGTTGGTGCAGCCTGCCTTTCAGGTTGGGGCCCAAGGAATGAGGATTGTCGTTGGTTAGAGACGCTGAGAGATATGGCCCGGAATAGAAGTCAGTGGCGCGAATGTTACACGGTGTGTCAGGCGAAATCCCGTACCCCGTAAAGAACAATAAACAACACAAAAAATATTAAAAACTGAAACACATGCAAAAAATATTGTTATCGCAGATATCTACCGCATTCCGCGTTTAACTGTTTCATCATCTTTCCACTTTGTTCTGTATCCCAATTCCCCTGCCCGCTATTATTGTTTTTGTTATTATTGTTGTGGTGTTGGTGCCATGCTTGTCTACAATTCGGTATATATACTTTATTTTGGTCGCTCACACTGGGATGTGATTTCGACACCCGTACTGATTGAATTCCGTGATGTTTGGGCAAAAGTCGGCCTCCTGGTGGACTCTCTTCATGTTTGTTCCAACAATCAATGTGAATGTATTCTACGTTTATACGTTCGGTATAAGTAAATCGGTTCTGCATACTCTCTATCTCGGTCATAATCTGCTTCATTCTTGAACCAGAGAAGTCGTTAAAACAAGCGCGCAGAATTGGGCAGTGAGTAAAAGTGATTGCCAAGTAGAAATTAAAATTGAATTCATTTGTTTCGTTGTGTCCGTACCTCTATTAGCCATAACAACAAGAACAGTTTTGGTGATAAATAATTTTGACCATCAGACTCCAACAGTCTGAATCAGTTGTCAACGTAAACTCTGTTTATTATTTATTATTGCGTACTACAGCGGAAAGGTGCGTGTCAAGTAGGCGACGTATGTATGCGATTCGAAAAGTTCGTTCAAATGAGGTACGGATAGCTTTCAGTCATTGGATTACACAATTCGTGCTGAGCAACCTTTATCTCCTAAATAAACGTTCTCCGCAACTATCTGTCGCAAAAAAATATACCATCACTGTTGCGGAAGAGTCCGGAATGGTTAGATCGCTAGCGACTTCCAACGGTTTTTCTTCGTATTAAAACATTATTACTAACAATAGATAATGCACATCAAGGTGGAAAGTCATTGGGCAAATCACACATCCCGAAGCATCAAACGACCCTAAAAATTGCACTATTCAGGAGGGATCAGAGAATTTCCGCATAAGAAACAGCAATATGACTGGGACGAAAAATGAAATTGCCTTGGGCAAACAAGATATAAAACCTTCACGGTTTCGAATAACTTACAATCCACCTGACGCCAACTGAGATAATCTCGAAGAGTGCTATTAGTCGGATACACAATGACCCGGGAATCGAATGCCGGCGGATAGAGCAATTGTGTCACAGGGAAATAGTTGGGCCACTCAAAAACGTACGAGGAAGCGAATAGGGATACCACAGTGCTTGAAAGTTTGCTGTGCGAGGGAACGGATAAGGAACACGAAATGAAAACTAGGGTAGAAGATTGTATGGCGGAGCAGGAAAACTGCATTCCGATCCGGAACAAGGTTCTTAGAACAAGTCAAGTCAAGAAAAGCTTTATGCAACCAAAACCGGTCAAACCTTCAGATGGTTTCAAATTGATCTGACGGACGAGTTGAAAACATATGTTTGGTTTGTCGTGTGTACACGACTATCACCTACCACGGATAAATCAACTGCCTGACCCGCAATGATGTAGCGATTCTCGGGAACAGGATTACAAACACAGTCCCGAGTACCTACAGTTCGGTCATTCGACCCGAGGTTGTACTTCTTGCCTTTGCACATCCTCCGTGCAACTTGCCAGGCAATATGCCTGTTAACAGTGGTCACTAGTTTAGTTCCTTTGCCGCCATGTAGAGTTTTGTCAGTTAGACGGAATGGGTCAAAGGACAATGACTTCCTCAATTAATGGTCCATCATAATTGCCACAGCACACTACCGCGATCAAACTCTTTAGGGATGATACTCGTAAGCAAGAACGCACCACGACCTCGGGCAATGACGTTGTTCAGTGGGTGGCCACTCCTTCAGTGAACCGGGGTCCGGCTCGTCCATGAAGAGTTATCAATCCGGATGAGATTACTCTTACCACAACCTGGCTTTGAGTCCGGTAGCATGAATTTATGCTTGTTTTCAGTTGACTAGAGATTGAGCATGTCTTATCGGGACCTAATATGGTTGGGGACTCCGTTTGGCGTTTGATATATATATATAGAGAGAGAGCAATAATTCAGGAATAATGTACGAAAAAAATGGCATTCGGACAAACAACCGAGGTCAAACATAGCATTCATTTGACCATATCACCGCGTTAAGTCCTGTACTAAGCGCTACGACACTTCCTCGGTATTTTCAAAGTATTGTACGGGAGTAGGTGCAGCAGATGCTGTTGTGTCCCAAATTAAGTAGGAAGATGAGCACACAACGAATTAAGCAGCAAGTTTATTGTAAACAGCGGATATTTAGCCGGTTCACAAACCGGGGAACAAGCAGTAACGATCAGCATGTAGGAAGGGAGGTAGGCAGACTGACCCCGGCTCACACGTCGCACTACATGCCAATGCCATCAAGTCAGCATTCAAACATTCAGTCAATCGATCAACCGACCGATCGATCAATCAATTTGGCCACAGGCATATATGAACACAAATCAGTCAGTTGTAAGCCAAAACAGAGGCCTACCTTACCGGAGTCGGTGTGACTTAATCAATTCACTTCGAGGTCAGTTATCTGTAAGTAGTAAACATGGACTGAACTCGTTATCGCTAAGGCGCATTTTCTATGAGACCAAACAAATTCTTCGGCAATAACGATGATCGAATAGTGAAAATAGTGGTGGCGGTGCCACGGAAGTCAATCGGACTTGTGCCATCACCAATTGCTGCTTTCCTACCGAGGTCAACAAAGCTGTCGACTGTATTTGATGTCTGCAAGAACAAGCTTACGCGAGTTGTGAAGAAAAACTGCATTGGAGGGGAGAAAAGTGCATATCATACGGATCTACCTCAGTCATCAGGCAGTTCAGCGCGGTTTGCATAGCCGGCGCACTTGCACTGAGCAAGGCAATAGTCTCCGTACATACTTAGTCGTCAACTCCAGAAGTAAAGTTCTGTTCAGATTATATAACCATAGACCATGCATTTTGGCCCGGCGGTTTTTGTTGCTGTCCTCTCGTGCTGCCTCTCCTTGAACGATGTGTTCGAAAAGTTTACTTCTCTCTTGTGATCACTGTATATAGTGGTAGGCACCTTTGCTGTCTTTCGGTTCAATACCNCACGTCTAACCTATTGGGGCCTTATGTGTTTCACCACTCCAAGTCCCGGGGCTCAGGTTACCCGTTTCTGTGAAGGAGCAGCAGGTCTTCGCGACTATGGGGCTCGCCCCGTCTGTTATTCCCCATACAAATGTGTGCAATAAAAAAACTAAGATGAGGTAAATTTTACGGCAAATGGGCGGTGGTGGTTTGGTGGTAAAGCTCACCAAATTATCACGTATGTTCCAATCCCGCCACCACCGGCTGACTGTCCCCATTATGTGTTGTATGGTAGCCATTGGATTGGCCACTTAATCCTCCCTGAAAATTCCGTCATTAAATANNTTTTCTGGTAGTGGCTCTATTTCACTCGATGTCAGACCAGATAAAGTGCTGTAACGCAATTGATTATATGACTGGTGCGTGCTTGTAGTCTAACAGATCACACGTTTAGTCGGCAGACAAGCCAAAAGGCAACGCCTTATTGATCGACCAAAAACGAGGCATGAAAGATAAACCGGACAAGCAAAATGTTAGAATAAGCACCCAGAATAAAAGCAGTCTATGCAACCGAAAGGACAGTAAAAAAATCTATATACAAGTGATTTTAGCGATATCTGTGATCAAAAGACACGTTAGTAAGTTTGAATGGAAACAAAAGGAGTCGCCTAGAACTGGTGAACACCAATCATTAAACCAGAATCAGACAGTTGTTTGGTATAGGTGAGGTACCATCAACTAATTACAACGGCCTCAATCAACGGTAGCAGTCGGCTTTCTAGTTGCGTAGATTACGTACAATAAACTCTCGCTCTCTCCGTTAACCTGAGGTTTTATTTCATACGGAAGCCTTACGAATGCCACCTGTGTCTTATACTTCCAGCCCGCGACTAAGACACCGTTTGAGTTTATCTCACGTTCGGGACAACTCGGAGGGTAATGATTGTTATTTACAAGAGCGCTAGCAGACCGATCTGTGAATATTTTAAAGACTGATAAAATGCACTGCCCTTGTAGTGACTCGCACGGTGTACAATTTTTGTCACCATGCCAAAACTGGGACCATGCCATCCAACCCAAAATGGCTGGTCTCGGCTGTGATACAGAAACTGCTTAACACGATCAAAACAGTTATGCAGTATTTGATGACCCAGTAAATGACCATACTTTCAGACAACCATTGAGATTCTTATCGTTCGATCACCAGTGAATCTCTGAGAAACGACAAGGCAGAGTTGGGTAGATAACAAACCTGGCTCGTCGGTTAAACGCATCGGTGGACCGACGAAAAACAAAGCTGTACTCATCGGATTGACCGTAGGCCAGAACAATATGGGTATGACGTTGCATCACACGTTCGGCTGCACGACACGACAATCCGAGGCCGCGTTCGTCATTCGGTTTCCGAAACCCGTGCTTCTCAGTGAACACATGAAACGCCTGACCGTCCACACGTACAACAATCCAGGCATGCGGGAGGCACGGATCCAATGTCTCAAACTGACGTACATACTCGTAATTACTTTTGGCCATGGAGCGTCTGCGATGAGGAACTACTGATCGCGGACTGATTTGGATTGAATCAAGCAATCGGGATGATAGAAGAAATGTCTGTGAAAGATTTTTTCTGAGATCCGGTTTAATCCAATACTGTAACAGATGAGATGAATGGTGGTGTGTAAATACGAACGTATGACAAGGTGTAAAACAAATTATAGAGAAACGCGCGGACAGCAACCGACAAGTATCACTCTTTGGGCTTTTATTCCTGGCCCTCCAAAGTCTCAGGTTGAACGCAGGTGGGTTTAATAATTTGTGACCCTTTCGTGCAACTCGTGAAATGCTTCTGTTCAACCCAGTTCCAAATATCCGCTGCTACACTGATGCTGCTGCCGCGCTTCTGTTGTGCATCAGACACACAATGACGTGTGTAATTCAAAAAAATTCACTTGTAAGGCTCATGACGTCGGACGTACAACGAGACCGTTGTCTAAAAGAATAGATGAACATTGTCCAGTTGCCATTTAAATTGCGTAAACCCTCAAATCATGAACACTTACTATACAGTTATAGAACTCGTCAACCAAATTGCCCCGGGACTTGGAGTGATCGCACACACCAGGGGTCATCAGTATATGTTAGGGATGAAGCCGGACGACAGTGAAGCTGTCTAAACTGCCAAAGCAGGGGCGCGGTGACGGTATTCGAACCTCTTACTTTGGGGCCTAGAGCACGCTAGTGACGGCCACTGAAACCGCTTGGGAATGAACCTCACACTGGGATCAGAAGGAGAGGATCAATTATATAAGGATTCGACCGATGAACGCTGGAAACCAGTGCACCGGTACACCGGAGGAGTTATCCAAATTGGGTATAGCAATCGTTGATTCAACGGGACGCGAAATTTCGTTGTTTGGATACCGGAGTCCTAAGAAATGCGGAATTTTCCACTTTCTGTTGGGAAAGTTTATAAAGATGATCAAATGAACCGGAGTCGTTCCAGTCGAACCCTATAGGGAGAGTTGAGTTAACAAATAGCTGATAGGGTGGTGGTGGCGCAGNCGGTCACCGGCGTGCTTTGGACCCTATGGCCACGCGACCGCCACCGGACTTTGGTGGTAGGCAGCTTTGCTACCGTCCGGTTCAAAACTACGCCTAACCTATCGGTGCCCTATGTGGTTCGCCACTCCAAGTCCCGGGGTTTAGATTGCCCGTTTCCACCACTGAAAAGCAGGTTCTCGTGACCATGAGGTTTACCCCGTCTGCTGTTCATCACACCTAGGTGTGTAGTTAAAAATAACTCATACTGAATTAACAATAGCCAGCACTGTTAATTTACCAGTAAAATGGGGCTTCGATTGACTTTAGGCTGGCAAAAAAGAGCTTTAGTTGTCAGGTTAAACTCCCAGGACTTCCTCGGTAACTAGGTTCCGCGATTTGGTCACCATGAAAACTGTGCAGTGCATTATTGACTGATATCACTGATCGATTGAGACGAGATCAAATGTGAGTACGAGAAAAGGAGGGTGGCATTTGGACCAACTTTCAACCTGCGCAAATCCCATTCCGAATACATGAATTATAATTGGTTCATAAAGGCATAAGATAATATTTGATATTTTTCAATTGTGAGATTTGCTATTCAAATTCAGCGTGATCCAATAAGTAACTCCAGAATTTAGGTAGTAGACGCACTTATGAATGTTTATATTATTAACAGTTTTACTTTACACAACCATAAACTCTGCATATTTGGGCCTCGGTTTCGGTTGCCTTCTTGCGGATAGCCATTTATGAAAAAGGTGTACACCAAAGAGAAGAAAACGGAGAGTACAATCGAGATAAAGATACAAATGAATGCATGTGAAACAGACGAGCGCCACTTTTTACGAAACTCAGTCATATCACTCAACCATCACGACGAGACTGCACCGTGACGTGGTATGATGGCTGTGCACCTCCCTGACCCAACGAGCTATATAGGATGGCTTTTGTCGAGCCGCAGATCTAGTCATGCCTGGAAGGTCAATGGGTAGAGGTCAGACGAAGTCTAGTCTCCTGGTCCTCCAGGTAGGGAGTTCGACTCGAGTTAACGTCTCAGTCGGTAAAATGGTAGAGGAGTAATTGCTCTAAGTACTCTACTTCGCTTTACTCGCTACCTTGCAGTCAGGTTCTTGTCAGAACTAAAGGCTTTGGACGGGAACCCTAATCGTTCGCCTGCTTAGTGGTTGGACACCCCGGCGGTACCCGTTCATCAAACTCCAATGCATACACAACCAAAAAATGATCCCATACTGCATCGGTTGTCGCGCTGTATAATCAGGATCGCGCTGCCCATTGCATCGAGCGGGGTGGGTACTGATAAGTGGGCTACTGCTCAGATATCCCAACCATTGATTAACTCTTTGTCTTCCGTACCCAATCCTCTCGCTTTACCCTTTTTTCCAACCCGTAACTTTCCCTTAGACAACTTGTTCGTCACTCGCCAAAGTTCGTTGCCAACTAGCTCGTTAAGCAGGTTACCACAAAATAGATTGCATATTCTGAAGCCTCGTCAGTCACTTAATCTGGGGGCCTTCAACGTGAGGACTCTGATGCAAGTAGGTCAACAAGCATGTCTGGCGCGTGCAATGAACTCTTTGGGAACGGATGTCTGCTGCGTGTCGGAGACTCGAATTCAGGATCCTAGTACAATATGCCACTCAAGTGCACCGCGGTTGTCTTCGAGGTTCTTCCTCCGCACGCCAGGTGATGACGAAGCCCATTCAGTAGGCCAGCGTGGTGTGGGCATTGTACTGAATAATACAGCCGAAGCAGC